CCCTATGATAAATGTAGCTGAAAGACTAAAGAAGCAACACACTAACTAATATAAAAGTGCTATGTGTTGTCATAATTGTATATTTCCAAACGATGATGAAACTACTGTAGTTATTTGCATTTAACCCATCACATGTGAGATACACCCAGGTGGAGCAGTGGGCAGCTATGTAAGTGCCTGGGGAGAAATTAGGGATTGGGTGTCTTGTTCAAGGATACATCGACATGCTGGCATGGCAGGGAGTAGAGACTGTGACTTTCTGGTTCCTCTCTGGGGGTCTGAGATGTTGTAGAGGTAGGATACCACAGAGCACATAATACATGTATATACGTTTTGGAGGCAGATGTGGCTGAGTGGTTAGAGCAGTTGTCCTCCAATGCAAGAGTTGGGGGTTTGATTCCACCAACAGTCACATGCCAAAGTGTCCCTGGGCAAGACACTGAACCCCTCTTCAAGGATTCAAGGATTTTTTTATTGTCATACCAGCTCACATTTGCATGTTTGTGGTACGAAATTCGGACTCATGTCCCAGATCAAGAAGCCTAACAATTAACAAATAAATAAATACAAAAGAGTACAGTGATGAGTTAGGGTGCCATCATTTGTAATAAACTGCAAAGCGCCATGATACACGCTATCCAGCATGTGAAGACATTGAGCAGAGGCATTCATGTATAGTACATCACCATAGTCAATAATCGGAAGAAAAGTTGACTCAACAAATTTCTGTTTTACCCTAAAAAAAAAGCAGGATTTATTCCGAAAATAAATCCAAGTAAAAGCTTCAGTTTATTTACAATAAACTGAATATCTGCTTTAAAAGACAATTTGTCATCAATTAAAAATCCCAGATATTTGAATGAAGATACAAGTTCAATTTGTTGACCATCACTAGTGGTGATGAGAGACTGGTTTGACCTTGCTGATGTTGAGTTGCTGAAAAACATTAGCTTTGTGTTGTCAACATTCAAAACAAGTTGAAGCTGACAAAGTTGTTCTTGTATTTTGTTTAATGCATTATGCATATATGCAAACACTTCTGTGGGCGTAGGTGCAAAGCAATAAATGACTGTGTCATCTGCATAAAAATGAATTGCTGCATTTGAAATATCCTTTCCAAAATAATTAATATACAAGATAAATAACAAAGGGCTCAGTACAGAAACTTGTGGTACCCCCTTGTGAATAAACTGAACTCCAGAACAAAAACCATCTAACTGGACAGCCTGGGTTCTATCTTTAAGATAGTTTGCAAATCATCCAACTGTATGTGTAGAAAACCCAACTGTTGTTAGATGGTTAAGTAGAATGAAGTGATCCACAGTATCAAAGAGGGGGAGTGGTGGCGCAGAGGTTAGAAGATGTGCTTGTGATTGAAAAGTCACAGGTTCACCTTCCGGTACCGTCAACATCAAAATGTGAGTGGAAAAGGTGAAACACCCACACCTCCCTCCACCCTCATTCTCCCCACTCTGGGTCCCTGAGCAAGGCCCTTAACCCTCACCATCTGCTCCCTAAACAGGTCTCTCTTGAAAAATGAGTTCTCGTGGCTCAATGAGACTACCTGTATAAATAAAGGGTAAATAAAATAAAATAAAATGAAAAGGCCTTAGAGAAATCTATAAATAGTGAAAGACAACACTGATTTTTATCTAGAACTTCTGTTATATCATCTATAACCTTTAATGCTGCAGTGGTGTATATGTGTATATATGTATATATATATATATATATATATATATATATATATATATATATATATATATATATGTTCAGTAGAGCAGTTTCAGTGCTATGGAGAGATTTGAAGCCAGATTGGAATAACTCTAGGATAGCGTGATCCCCCAAAAACTGTTTCAACTGAGACTCCACAATTTTTTCCAGTAGTTTAGAGGTGAATGGGAGTCTGGAGACAGGCCGGAAGTTGGACATGACTGAGGGGTCAAGGTTAGGTTTTTTCAGGAGGGGCTGGACAGCAGCATGTTTAAAAGTTTTTGGCACCACACCTGAGGATAAACTGCTATTCAGAATAGTGAGGATAAAAGGACCCAGGGTAGGAAAAACTTCCTTTAGCAGTCGAGGGGGGACCACATCAAAGGGGGAACCAGATGGCTTCATGCTGCACATTGCCTGCTCCAGAGAGGACAGAGAGATGGGCTCAAAGTGGTCAAACACAGCCACACACTGAGATGGGATGGACAGCTGGCGGAGAAATGAGTGCCCGGGTGTTTGCCACTTTTTCTAAAAAGAAATGGAGGAAGTTTTCACACAGCTCGGTTGAGGCTTCCAGAGGTGAAGGCTCACTGAGGTGTAGAACTGAGTTCAGGGTGGAGAAAAGAACTCGGGGGTTGTGGGAGTTGGAAACAATTAAATCAGAGAAGAATTTACATTTGGCAGCTTTAACGGTTTTCTGATAGTGACGCCAACTCTCAATGATTTTGTAGGTGTGTGTGTGCGTGCGTGCACGTGTGTGCGCACGTAAAAAAAGGTGTTCACTAGTGAACAAAAAAACAACAGTTCACCTAGATTTCCTTTAATTCCACACATTTAAAACATGTTTCTCACCAAGTTTGTGTAAATTCATCTGTGGATTTTAAAGACATTTTAACTTTAATACACTTTAATACAGAGCGTCAGGTCGGCACTATTTGTCTTTATAGAGAAATAAAAATCATCACCACTGGACTTTTTTTTTACTTGTGTTCAACACTGCTCATCTAAATGATGTTTCTCATGAAGCTTGAGGACAATAAGGTGTGGGGTTTTAAAGACATTTCAACTTTAATGCACCTGAACACACACCGTCTCTTACACCTGCAGCGTCTTACAGCGTCACAGTTACTGCTAAGCTAAGATGCTACAGACATAGCTCCTCTCAAGCATCCTCTTAACATGAATATATGTTTATGATCAACCCCCTGGTCAACAACTGCCCACACTAAGCTGCTAAACTGGCGAGCGAGTAACACAGGTACCTCCACCTCCTCCACCTGTGCGCGTTTTCTGCCACGACAAGAGGCAGGAAGAGACGGTGGAGAGTTGGAGGTAACCTGGAAAACCTGGAGTGGAGTTTTAGTAGCTTGAGTATTATCCTATTAATCAAGTGGAATGGATTTGTTCACGAAGAAAGAGAAACTGCGCCGCCTGAACGAATGTTTTATAGTAAAAGTGGGAGGGTCCAAATGAACGTTTTTTTAATGTGGGGGGGGGGGGGGG